AAAATTTCTATAAAAAAAACCAAACAAGTAGGATTTTCTCACACGGGGTAGATCTGCTGTGTCTTAATTGGTGGACGCGGTTCTGGACTTAGCATTAACTCACTCTCTCTGTCTTTCCCTTTGCAGTGCCCACCCAAACTGTGCCACAATTTCAGAAGCTCAAGAATCCTAAATTCCAATCCGTAAACCCAACTCAATTACTGTAGTTGGATTCCCTTCTCTTCCCCTGTCTGTAAAATTCTCCATTTTTTTTTTCTCTCTTTTCAGACTTTTCTCTGTTTCTCTGTTCTGGAAAAATTTTATTACAATTTTTATCCACCCACCGTGTGGGACACCGCCAAGCGCCACCTCCACCACCACCATCACTGTCTGGGGCCCACCACCTCTCAGCCTTTTCCCCTGTCCTTTTTTTTTTTTTCCTCATAATTTTATTTGGGGTTGGTTAAATCAAGCATCTTTCTGTCTGTCATCTTCTCATCTCTTCTTCCTCTGAGTTACGCCTCCGCATTTACACACGCTCTCTCTCTTGACTCCCTTTGTTGGGTGCGTTTTTTCTCTCTAAAACTCTAAACTTTTTTCACTCCCCATTGCCATTATAGATTCAGACCAGCCAGGTTCGGGGAAGACTTGGCTTGTTGCTGAATCAAACTCAGGATCCTGAACCCAACTGGGTATTCTTTTGTCACCTGTTTTGATTATATTGTACATCCAAGGCCGCTCATTTTCAATCTGGGTTTTGCGTTCTTCATTGTTTGTTGGGTTTGTGTTTCTTTTGATTGGAGTTGAGCACTGTGGTGAGGGGGGGAGCAAAAGTGGATCTTAAAACCGTGTCGGTGGTGGGAGGACTCAGTGAGAGTCCGAGTTTTGTGTTGTGTGTCTTGATTTGAGGTGGTGGCTCTGTGTCATTGTGGGAAATTATGGACACAAGAGGTCGACTTATTGCTGGGTCTCACAACAGGAATGAATTTGTGCTGATAAATGCAGATGAGGCTGGAACCGGAAGAGTAAGAGACCCTACATCTAAAGATCCCTCATTTCTGTTTTCCCCTTCATTTTGGGAGGGCTATTGATTGTGTTGCGGTTTTGTGATGTGGGTATTGCTAGAAATGCCAGAGACTTTGGATACTTTCTGATCTAGGATTTAGTTGGGAGTATAACAAATTAGTGATCTTTTAAGGGTAGATTGTCACAATCTGGTACTTTTTACTTCTGATTTTGAGTGATTGACCGTACATCTAGTGATTTACTTTATGGTTTAGGCCTCTTGATAGGCTGAGAATAGTTTTGACTTATGAGGCTGATGATGCTTCTTCCAGTATCTCGTTTTAATGTCTTTTGATGAACTTTAACTACAGACTCATGCCAACTTCGCAGCTGTCTAGCTAAAGTAGAACAAGATTTCTGTGTTGCTAGCAGAGTTCCTTAGCATGGTTTGATTGCTGCTTGCATTCAAATTTTCTTCCTCATTTAGGTTAAATTGCAGGAATGTGTTTTGATATGGTCCTATGGAAGCATGTTTAAGACACTCATTATGGTGCATTTGTTGATCATCTGATTTGTTAAATTGTTATCCAGGAATCTCCAAATCTTGTGAAAAACCTCAAATAGATACAAGTTTATCCCCCTAAAAAATACTGAATTGCTTTCTTCTTTCAATTGTTAAAGGTTGATCTCATTAGTAAGGGGGATGTCCCAAGGGATCAGGATGCACTACCTTGATTTAAGTCATTGCAATAATTTTCCAATTACCTCTTTATCTCACAAGGTTATACCATATAAGGGTGTGGGGGAGGGACATGGTAGTACTAGCATTGTGTTGTGCTTAAAGTCTTCCATAGTAAATTAAATGAAAATATCTAAAATTTCAATTTCTAGGTTGTTTGCTGGCAGAATTTTGATTGACTGTTAGGGGCCTTTTGGTGTTATTGATGTCATATTTCATATTCAAATGTTGACAGTAATCTTTCTGTCTTCTATGGTGCTGATCAGATAAAATCTGTACGAGAATTGAGTGGGCAAACTTGTCAGATCTGTGGTGATGAGATTGAGCTTATAGGTGATGGAGAGCTGTTTGTTGCCTGCAATGAATGTGCTTTCCCAGTGTGCAGACCCTGCTATGAGTATGAGAGAAGAGAAGGAAACCAAGCTTGCCCTCAGTGCAAAACCAGATACAAGCGGCTGAAAGGTGAGATTGTTACCACATAATATATTTGATGTCAATGGATCCATACAAATTTTCTATCTTTGCTAACAAGTGACGACAATTGCAGGTAGTCCTAGAGTTGAAGGTGATGAGGAAGAAGATGACATAGATGATTTGGAAAATGAATTTGACTATGGAAGTGGTGATGCTATGGGTCCACAACTGGTTGCGGAGGCTATGCTCACTGCACGACTTAACACTGGTCGTGGCTCCCAGGTTAATGGGATGCCTGGAAACTCTGAACTGGATTCTTCGCCTCCTAGCTCTCAAATTCCTCTCTTGACCTATGGCGAGGAGGTATTGCTTCTCTCCCTCCATCTGTGTGCACACGCGTGCACATGTTTAGCTGTATGTGTTAAATAAGTGAGTTTGAATTGCAACATAACTGTACTTGTTCTATTTTCAGGATTCTGAGATTTCTCCAGACCATCATGCGCTCATTGTACCCCCTTTTATGGGTCATGGAAATAGAGTTCATCCAATGCCTTATCCAGATCCATCTGTACCTTGTAAGTCATTCTTCTCATGTTCTGTTATTGTTTTAGAGAAGGCCCTTGTGTGTTGAACATTTGTGTGTTCACTGTTACAGTGCAACCTAGACCAATGGTTCCTAAGAAAGATATAGCTGTGTATGGTTATGGAAGTGTTGCATGGAAAGATCGAATGGAAGACTGGAAGAAAAGACAGAATGAAAAACTTCAGGTAGTTAAGCATGAAGGAGGGGGTGATGGTGGAAACTTTGATGGGGAGGAGCTGGATGATGCTGATTTGCCAATGTAAGTGACTGCTTTATTATCTGATAAGAATATTGTTCTACATTCTAAATTCTGTGTGATGGATATTTTATTGTCATGTTTAACTACGTCTTTGGGCTATTTATGAGCTTTATGGTTTATATTTTTAGGATGGATGAAGGCAGGCAGCCACTTTCGAGGAAGCTACCCCTTCCCTCAAGCAAGATTAATCCCTACAGAATGATTATCATACTCCGCCTTGTAATTCTTGGATTATTTTTTCACTATAGAATTCTCCACCCAGTTAATGATGCATATGGCTTGTGGTTGACATCAGTTATATGTGAAATCTGGTTTGCTGTTTCTTGGTTTTTGGATCAGTTCCCCAAATGGTACCCCATTGAGAGAGAAACATATCTTGATCGGCTATCTCTGAGGTACATGAAGTTGACCAACGTGACATGCTTTCATGAAAATCGGGCTTGAATTTATTTTTCCCAGTTCATGCATACTGCTCTATTACATGCAATGCTAGGTCTCTTGTTCATTTCCCTTATAAATTGCACCTTTTATCTGCAGGTATGAGAAAGAGGGGAAACCATCAGAGTTAGCCAGTATAGACGTTTTCGTGAGTACAGTTGATCCGATGAAAGAACCTCCATTGATCACTGCAAACACGGTTCTATCCATCCTTGCTGTTGATTATCCAGTTGATAAAGTTGCATGCTATGTATCAGATGATGGTGCTGCTATGCTTACTTTTGAAGCTCTCTCTGAGACATCTGAATTTGCTAGGAAATGGGTTCCTTTCTGTAAGAAGTTTAACATTGAACCCCGTGCCCCTGAGTGGTACTTTTCTCAGAAGATGGACTATCTAAAGAATAAAGTTCATCCAGCTTTCGTGAGGGAAAGGCGAGCAATGAAGGTTTGTGACCTAGTTCTTCTTATTCAAGGATGGGTCTAGTTGGACTTTTGGATGATCATCATATAATCATTTCCTATTAGTGATACATACTTCAAATCCTCAAGGTTATTAATTTGATTTATTTCTTGGTTCAGAGAGATTATGAAGAATTTAAAGTCAGGATTAATGGGCTGGTTTCAACAGCACAAAAGGTTCCTGAGGATGGTTGGACAATGCAGGATGGGACACCATGGCCAGGAAACAACGTGCGAGACCATCCAGGCATGATCCAGGTGGGATAATGTTGGACCCATTTTTTTTTCTTCTCTTTCTATTTCTCCCCCAAAGTGTTATGCAAAAGTGTTATGCATGAATCTTCTGTTTTCTTCCCACAAACTAAAATAGAAATTATATCTTGCCTCTGGCAGGTTTTCCTAGGTCACAGTGGGGTTCGTGATGTGGAGGGAAATGAATTACCTCGCCTGGTTTATGTTTCTCGTGAGAAAAGACCAGGCTTTGAACACCATAAAAAGGCTGGGGCAATGAATGCTTTGGTAAGGCATAGGTCTCCATGTTTTCATTTTACCAATTAAAATGTGGTAGTCATCAAACTTTGTTCTTTTTTTTTTTTTTTTTTTTTTTTTTTAACTTATGTTTTCCACTATAGGTACGGGTCTCAGCGGTTCTGTCAAATGCTCCTTATCTTCTGAATGTTGACTGCGATCACTATATTAACAACAGCAAAGCACTCAGAGAAGCCATGTGTTTCATGATGGACCCCACAGTGGGGAAGAAAGTCTGCTATGTGCAATTTCCTCAAAGATTTGATGGAATTGATCGTCATGATAGATACTCAAATCGGAATGTTGTTTTCTTTGATGTATGTATATTTTCATAATGGATTTCTGTGTTTAGTACCTCTCTCTCTCTCTCTCTTAGGTTGGAATCTAATTTCCTAAAATGGTAACAGATCAACATGAAAGGATTGGATGGTATACAAGGACCCATATATGTCGGAACTGGTTGTGTTTTCAGAAGGCAAGCTCTTTACGGTTATGATGCACCAGTCACCAAGAAGCCTCCTGGCAAGACTTGCAATTGTTGGCCAAAATGGTGCTGCCTGTGCTGTGGATCTAGAAAGAACAAAAAAACAAAGGCAAAGACTCCAAAGAAAAAGAAGTCCAAGCAAAGGGAAACATCAAAGCAGATACACGCCCTTGAAAATATTGAAGAGGGAATTGAAGGTGAGATTTACTCTTTAAGTGCAGCAACAGACTCTCTAGTTATCTTGTTTTGTCGTCATGGTTTATATTTTACCTACAAGATCCTTAGTAAGATCTGGATGCCATTGCAGGAGTGAATCCTGAGAAATCATCTGAGACAGCACAAATGAAATTGGAGAAGAAATTTGGGCAGTCTCCTGTTTTTGTAGCCTCCACTCTTCTAGAGAATGGTGGAGTTCCTCAAAATGCAACCCCTGCATCACTCCTCAGAGAAGCCATCCAAGTCATTAGCTGTGGTTATGAAGATAAAACAGAGTGGGGAAAGGAGGTAAGTGGAAACCAGAAGAATTTGACTTCTAAAATTTACTGAACTTAAGTTCTACTTTCAGTACCCTAATTTTCTAAAATTTTATGTCAAACTAGGTTGGCTGGATATATGGCTCTGTGACTGAGGATATCCTAACAGGATTCAAGATGCACTGCCATGGGTGGCGGTCTGTGTACTGCATCCCTAAGCGGCCTGCATTTAAGGGTTCAGCCCCCATTAACCTTTCTGATCGTCTGCACCAAGTTCTTAGGTGGGCCCTTGGATCTGTTGAAATTTTCTTGAGCAGGCACTGTCCAATTTGGTATGGCTATGGGGGTGGCTTGAAATGGTTGGAACGATTTTCTTATATTAACTCGGTGGTGTATCCATGGACCTCCATTCCTTTGCTCGTCTACTGTACTCTTCCAGCTATCTGCCTTCTCACAGGGAAATTTATTGTTCCTGAGGTAACGTCTCATGTTTGCACTTTCTGTGTTTTATATGCTATTTGGAAAACAAATCTTTGGAGGAGAAAATAATACTGCTGTCTGACATCAGAGATGAAGCTGTGGATGTGCTTGTCTGATTATAATATTGCTTCATCCGCATTGTTTTAGAATTAAGATCTGCATTGCATTGATTACTTGATCTCCCGATTGAGAACCGGAATCATGAGGCTTGAACATATTTAAGCTTTAGCTGTGTCCTGCTGTTCCTGTAATAAATTTGATGTCAACGAGTCTATTTAGACTGAAGCTAATCCTGAAATTTTTGCTCTGTTGCTTGCAGATTAGCAACTATGCCAGTCTGCTCTTCATGGCTCTCTTCATATCTATTGCTGCAACTGGTATCCTTGAAATGCAGTGGGGTGGTGTTGGAATAGATGACTGGTGGAGAAATGAACAGTTTTGGGTGATTGGTGGTGTTTCATCACATCTCTTTGCTCTCTTCCAGGGTTTGCTCAAGGTTTTGGCTGGTGTCAACACAAACTTTACCGTCACCTCCAAAGCAGCAGATGATGGGGAGTTTTCAGAGCTTTACCTCTTCAAATGGACATCCTTGTTGATCCCTCCAACAACATTGTTGATCATAAACATAGTGGGAGTAGTAGTGGGAGTCTCCGATGCCATCAATAATGGGTATGATTCATGGGGTCCACTTTTCGGTAGGCTATTCTTTGCCTTCTGGGTCATCATGCATCTCTACCCCTTCCTCAAGGGTTTACTTGGGAAACAAGATCGCATGCCTACCATTATTTTGGTATGGTCTATTCTACTGGCCTCAATCTTGACTCTTTTGTGGGTCAGAATAAACCCATTCGTCTCCAAAGATGGCCCCGTATTAGAAATTTGTGGGCTAAATTGTGACGACTGAGACATATGAATAAAACCAACGCCTTGCAGATGACATTGCAACTGCTGTGTTGCAGAAGCAAACACCAGTTCCTTGTTCCCTGCATCAAGAACTTGGAAATGAGCATGAAGAAATTGTGGAGTGTGAAGAGCGGACTATATTTTTGGATGTTGTAGATATAGTTGGGGGTGGAGTGCAGACACGTTCTTTGTTCTTACACAGTTCTTTATTAATTCTTTTATTATTAGGGCCTTTTTTCTGGTCTTGTAATTTCTTTTTTGGAGTCTGTATTCCTGGAAGAATTATATTTATTCCCTTGTCAATGTTGGGGGGAGTGGTATAGGTGTCTCGGTGTCAAATTAATTCACATTTATCCACCTATTGTTTTGATTTGATGCTTCTTCCTATTCCGAACAGCTTAGCTTGGCTTGGCTTGGCTAGGCCCTGTATCTTAATAATTTGAAGTTCTGAAATATCAAGAATCGTATTTGTTCCCACTTTCTTTCTGTTGCCTTTAATTTTTGTGTTTGTTGCATTATGTGGAAATTTTGCAATGAGGATGTCGGTAGGTATTGTGCCAATTTTCTGGGATATCCCCGATTATGGTACCCACTAAGCTTGCATCATAACATGCACAAACCAAGGCAGATATCAGTATCAAGGATTTGCTTTCCAGTACAACTGGTGGATAACCATTCTATCAAGTTCACATGCAAGTGTGATTAGTTTTAACATTAAAGAGATCTGACATGCAAGTGTGATGAAAATAAAGTAAATATAAATAGGTTCAGAAATGATGTCAAAGCATAAGCATTGGACATAAGCTCTCACCGTCTCAATCTCTCTGCATGTAAGCTATGTTAAGAAGCCAAGGCCTACACATGTTGTGCCTCTAAGACTACCGCCAAGAATTCAAGTGGCTGACCGTTATTGTAAGTTTGTAATTATGCAACCAGCTCCTCTCCCTTAACTCATCATGTGACAGTCCCATCAACATTGAGCGTTACAAAAATTATTGGGGGTAGTTGCCACCTAACAGTCCTCGAAACACTCAATGGTGCATGCTGAGTCCAAAATTCATCATGGTTATTAAACCATTCAAGGTGCCAGAGCAATGGCATCATGGTTATTAATCATTAAAATGTGCCAGAAGCTCAGAACAAAACAAACCATGACTCTGCACCTGGCCCCTTAAGGTTCAACTCCATAGTTCAACTCGTAAGGTGTATTTTGGATTGGAATTTAAATCTTCTCATTTCCAACTTGTAACCTTGTTCCAAAAAAAAAAAAAAAACAAAACAACACAAACAAACCATGGCTCTTTACCCTACAGCGAATACATCGATGCGATGTCGACACCACAATGGGCAAAAACACCCAAAGTAGGCTGATTTACACGGTGGGATGAGTCTACGGGCATCTCTCAAATATAAATTAATATATATATATATATATATATTTGAACAATTATCATGAAATCAAATTGAACCGTTATTCGTCCAAAAAGAAAAGTAAACCTGTATCAAAGTGACGGGGGTTATTTGATCTGGATTGGGTTAGGTTTATCTCTCAAATATATTTAATTTGAAAAAAAGAGAGAAACAAATAAAAGAAAAAAATGATTTCGTTCAATTAAATTAATCTATTAAATTTATATATAGTGAGAGATGAGTTCATAAAAATCTTTTTAATTGCATGAATTTTTTTATTTTGTCTTTAAGATATAAAATAAATGTATAATAAATGTATATTTTTATAATTAATTTTTTATTTAAAATATAAATATAAATTTTAATTTAATCAATTAATTAATTAAAATTATTCATGTCTTAATAATATTAAAATATATTAATTTTTATAATTTTTAATGTAAACTAATTATAAAATAATATATTTATTATACCTTTAACTTTTACATTTAAGACACATGTTAAATAACCATTAGTTTATTTAGTTTGAGAGAAATAAGATGATAGGAGGAGAACGAAAAAAATATTTCATGCAAATTTTTTCCATGCTATTACTTCGTCCAATTGAGGAAAAATATGAACATACTCTCTCTTTGGGCTCGGGAAGCAATGGCACCTAAAGTAGGCTGATGACATGCATGATTTTTTTATTTTGGTCTTAACTCCTTGTATCCTAAAATTATATTGACCTAAAATTATATTGACCTCTAATTAATCCAGAATTAAGTTGGGTCGAATATCATATAAAGAAAGTTCTCTTAACATTTGTTTTTTTATTTATAAGATTCAAAATTTAAAATTTTATTTAAAAAAATTGAACTCCTTTTACTCGAATTAACAGATAGTTGGTATTACAATTTACATGCATGAAACATAATTTGTTTGGGCCCAAAAACTTAGATCAAAAAAGAAAGCCAGAAGCCGGAAGCCATTCCATGTCCAACCATCACAAAATGAGAAAAACGTGCCAGGTAGGGATCGAACCAAATACTTTCTCCTTAGAATACAGATGCTCTATCCACTGAGCTGCAAGAGCACTTCAGTTTAAACTCAATATAAATCACAAATCTTCAACCAGTTTTGAGTTCAAAATGTTTGATAGCTTTGTATTCAATTAACCTTCTCTGTCGCCCAATGACCATTACTTAGTAGTTGGAAGTATTTGATGAACTACAGTTTCAAAATCCATCATCTTCTCTTAATTCGCATAATCATACCCAGTTAAAAGCCATGGGTTTGCCTAACATCTACTTTTAAGATTGGATACAAGTTTAAAAATATAATAAATATATAATATTTTAATTAATTTATATT